TTCATGTTGACCTAATGCACTGTACTGTATATGTGCAAATGAACGAATGCCTTCCTGAGATGACTCGTTCCTTCCGAGTCACATTAAAGATTAGTTCAAATTGAACTAATAGTTCATGAACGACACATCACTATATACAACAAGACTAAATAAAGTTCAATTGAACAAATAATGTTCTGTTGAGACAACTAAACATTATTTGTTAATTGAACTTGTTTTAGTCTTGTATGAACCTGAACTAATTGCGTGGAAAAGTCTACTTTAATTTTATTAAGTTCACTGAACAAGTTATTTTTGATTGTTTGTATTTTCTTATTTTTAAAGAAATTCTCTGTGAGATTTTAACTTCACTGGAAACAATTAAGCAGCAACAGCAAATGATTTTGCTCCAGCTGCAAAATAGTTATCCACGTCCAGTAGAGGTGCCAGAAGTTTCTGGATTTCCTCTGACATCACTAAATGAACTGATGAAGCTTGAAGAGAGCATTGCTGCAGTGGGGGAATATAGGCAAAAACTGGTATGTTTTCCTATGTCAAAAGTTTTGACTGATATTTGCTGATGTTTAATTATGTGACTTCTAAAACTAGTTGCCTACAACAGTGAATATTTATATGTGCTTGGGAGTGAACATTTATGCAAACAAACTTTTAGTATTTTATATTTATAAACTAATTTAGATAACTCTGTAGACATCTGTTTTAACTTTGATAAAGATTTATTTTTCTGTTAATTATTGTCATAAAAGCCACATTTAATCTATTTTAATGAAGGGATCACAAATTGACCGAGGCCCAGGATTTAAAGGGGATTTTCGAAAAATAGTAAAAGAAGTATAATTTATTAAAATGCTTTTGAAATATTTACAAATAATATTTTTATTTTAAAATATGCACATATTCACAGGGCTCTAAACTGCAACCATTTCAGTCGCATTTGCAATTTAAAACTAGTATGGTGCCCGCGAGTTTGAACTTCCAAAATGCAGTTTAAATGCAGCTTCAGAGGGCTCTAAATGATCCCAGCAGAGGAAGAAGAGTCTTATCTAGCAAAATGATTGGTTATTTTCTAAGAAAAATTACAATTTCTATACATTTTAACCTCAAATACTCGTCTTGTCTAGCTCTGTGTATTCCGGTCCATGACAGTTAGGGTATGTCGAAAAACTCCCATCTCATTTTGTCCTCCAACTTCAAAATCGTTCTACATCGCTGTTTTACCTTTTTTTGTAAAGGGCGTTTGACCTTCTTTGCACGTTTACTTTGTAAACACTAGGTCGGTACCCAGTTGGAGGAGACATGCAAAATGTGCAGAACAGGGGCCCCCCAGGACTGGAATTGGGAACCGTTGATGTAAATTTTATTTTCAATTCAAAGTAAAAATGGCAATATTTTTCCCCAGGACCATGCTTCAAAACATACCTTACCAGCATATGCTGTTTTTTTTCAACAGGGAACAGTTGACATATTAAATGTTTAGATCAGTGGTTTTCAAACCTGTCCTGGAGGCACACCTGCCCTGCACATTTTGCATGTCTCCCTCATCTAACACACCTGATTCAAATCATCAGCTCATTAGTAGAGACTGCAAGACCTGATTTGGGTGTGTCTAATAAGGGAGACATACAAAATGTGCAGGACAGGGGGGCCTCCAGGACAGGTTTGAAAACCACTGGTTTAGATAGCCTATATCTTACCTTGAACTTTCACCATTAAAACTGAAGCATCGTGCAGGAATTCACACGGTTAGACCACTGAGGTGGACAAGCTTTTTTCATCCTAACAACATACAGAGCGGTGCATTGCAGCAGATCATGTAGCATCAAGAATATCAAATATTGTGGATGTGCCTCCCTCAATCTCTATTGATATTTCATTATTGCAAACAGTATAGCATCACACAATGATCACTCAAAGACTTTTTAATCAAGAGTAAAATCACCCTCCATTACAATTGTCCTGAGAAGACATTACATTCCAGAAGGCAGTAAAGCCTATGAAACAGCCAACATATCAAAGCAGCTAACCACCAACAAGCCTCTAAAGAACATAAATGCAATAACTTTATCATTACAGAGCTGCAATTTTATCTAGACAAACCTCATTCCTTAGGCAAGAGGGCAAAAAAATAAATAAATAAAATAGCATGGTAGCATCCTTACTGACACTGTCCACATAAGTATCACTACTCTTATAATCACCAATATTTCATTTATTCTGATTTTAAATACCTGATTTGTAACAATTTTTCACCCTTTTTACCATCGCTGCTTTCTGACATTTTCACTTTAGGACTCCAGTCTGTACCGTCAGTAACTAACAATACTGTCTTTCAGGTCACCTATTTTGGACTGGCAGGGGGCCTGACTGTGAAAGACAGTGTGTGGAGAATAATGTCAAAACTGTTGACAAACCCACTGGCAAAGCAAATTAATTGGCGTGGGGCAAATGGAAAGTTTGGCTTTGAACAACTTGCCATCAAAGATGTTGTCCTCAGTAAGTTTTATTTGTGTTTCATAGTGTTGCTTAATTCTCATCATTATAGGAAAAACATTTACACTTTCATGCTGAGATTTAGATGAGATTGATAGCACTGTCATGTCTATATGCTAAAAGTGAAGCTGGAACCAGAAGATGGTTAACTCTGAAAATGAGAATCAGAAATGAGATATTTTCAACCGTTTTACACAACTACAGCACACATATTAATATTAATTCTTAGCAATAAGCTACAACAAAGTAGTTGTTAGACTTTCACAGACAGTGCAGTATTTCCTAATGTCTGGCCTTGCTTGTATTTGGTACAGTCAGAATTTACTTAAGTCAACAAAATAACAATCTAATGTGATGCGGCACAAGCCATTGTTTCAGAGCACAGCAATGCCATTGGCACATTTAGTCTCAAAGCCCCTTAACTGCTGGGTCTGTCACAAATCCTAATTTTTGGCAAATTATTATACTATTATATCTGCAAGTTGGGACAATAGCTGACCATTCTATGTACATGACAGAGGATGAGGTGATAGTGAAACTGTGATCCTAATTTGTTGTAAACGTCATTCAGATTTTTAATGTCAGAATTATTTTTTACTGACATTTTACATATTATATTTTGAATACTCTGTTACTCAAATAGATGTAAACTCAAATGGTGTGTTGCAAAGTAGTGATGATGCAGGGTGCTCAAACTTTTGTAGGCCTTTTTTTCATCATTTTCAAAATATAAAATGTTTTATTTGTTTAAAATCTACAACATAATAAAGACTGCAAAAAAAGAAGGGTTCTGAATACTTTCTCAAATGACTATAATGACTGTATAAGTGCTATTTTTTTATTTAAGTGCTTATTTTTATTTAAATAAAAAAATTTTTTTATTATTATTATTTTATTTATCTTCTTCCCATCTGGTCTTTATGCTAAGTTAATTAGGATAACCAACTTCATGTTTTAAAAAAGGCAAACTTACACCTAATAATTTTTTTTTT